AGAGTCATGGAACGGATTAAGTTCGTAAGTAGAGGTACCACTGTACTTATACTGCAATTCTGGTGCTGCCATATAGCATACAAAGTAAACTCATTTGAACTTAAAGTATAAAGCATATCTAAAAAAGTTATTTAAAAACTGTAGCTTTCTTGGAAGATTAACATTTTTACAGCTGCATGGCAGATGATATATTCTAGGTTATAGACACACAATCAGAACTACATGAAACTTAAGGGGGGGTGTCTAATTTTAAACATATAAACATATCAATCTAGCTTCTTAATTTTTTAGAATATTTGAAGACTTTGAAACTGCCAAACTTGCCTGCAGAAGAAAATTTTCCAGTCCACATCTCTGTTCCATTGATTAAAATTCCAAATGTATATAATACCTGTGTAGCTGGTGGCCTTCCGTTGTTTTTCTATTTGTTTAAGTTCTTGAATCTCAAAAATAGATTGTTCTTATTTGTATCAGTCACATTTTCTTATTATTTTTGCCAGACAAGACAGCTTTTCTAAAGATTTGGATAATAATATGATTTAAAAAAAAAATCCTTACTGAGGCTGTCTTCACAGACTACTATAGATTTTGAAATGCTAAAAATTCTAATTCTGTACCCTAATTTCAGATATTTTTTACGAGTTATGTATAATTCTTTTATATGTCTAAAAGACTCTTAAAGTCTCAAGATGGATGCAGTCTAGAAATTTCATAAATATGTTTATCAATAATTATTAAGAAATTAAAAATGTATCATGAAGCTTTTTGGTGATTTTTCAAATTGGTTAAAGTAAAGCAAGTTTGTGGAGAAGTAAACTTTATGTTCTGTGCCATTTATACTTATTCCTTTATTTGTTATATTTATTCATATATAGATTGCTTGGTTTTAAACTGGAAGAACAAATATGAGGTACAGGATGTTTAGCATTTCTGAATACTTTGGCTCTATTTCAGTTGAGTCTGCTATCATGTACTTGTTTAATTTATGGTACCAATTGTCATTGTTCTGAAAAGTTAAGTGAAAAAGGTAATCTATTCTATTCTAAAGTTATTGTGGTTATATATTTTTATTGTTCTTTCAAAAATAAACAGTACTTTGATGGGATCTGATACTTGTTTTTGATAATTGTTCATGGCTTGATAAAATCTAATTTGATAGCATTGTGCATGCTTTGTTTTGAGCTTGAAACAAAACAGCTCTGCTCCAAATGTTCTGCATTGAAATATGGAGTTAGCAGCCTTCCAGTGGGATAAAACTCTAAATCTTTTGAAGTGGGAACAGTGGAAATTTGAAACAAGAGACAGTGGAAGTCCATGTTGAATGCTACCTATCCTGAAGGAATTCTTTTTTTTTAAATAAATATTTTTTTAAATTCCCATATCAGATAATAAAACCAATAGTTTCTGATGCCTGGCCTTTCTATGCAGATGGCCACAAAACTAAGCCCAGAAAAGAAGCAACATCAGTGGATTCACTTTAGTATCATAGCTCCTAAACAAAATAAGATCAGAAAATACATTTCTCTGGCTAATGGTTTGAGATTTCTTTCTAATACATTTTTATTTTGTAGTGCATTTTTATTTATTTTTCCTTTCTGCAAAGCTAAGTCAAACAATAAAGCAACATGAAAATTAAATTCCATTGTATGTACATACAGTATGATATGTGTTTCTGAGAGGATTGTTTCTTCCATGGAGAGCTTTCTTGGCTGAATTCTCCTATAAGTGACTCTGTTTGAAAAAGAAATAATTCAAAAGAATTATGCACACATTTATGCACCCCCCCACACA